TATATATATATATATATGTATTTATATGAGGCCTTATATATATATATATATATATATATATATATATATATATATATATATATATATATATATATATATATATATATATATATATGTATATATATGAGGCCTTATATATATATATGTATATATATATATATATATATATATATATATAATATATATATGTATATATATGAGGCCTTATATATATATATGTATATATATATATATATATATATATATATATATATATATATATATATATATATATATATATATATATATATAGGCCTTATATATATATATATATATATATATATATATATATATATATATATATATATATATATATAGGCCTTATATATATATATATATATATATATATATATATATATATATATATATATATATATATATATATATATATATATATATATATATATATATATATATATATATATATATGTATATATATGAGGCCTTATATATATATATATATATATATATATATATATATATATATATATATATAGGCCTTATATATATATATAATATATATATATATATATATATATATATATATATATATATATATATACATATATATATATATATATATATATATATATATATATATATATATATATATATATATATATATATATATGTATATATATGAGGCCTTATATATATATATATATATATATATATATATATATATATATATATATATATATATATATATATATATATATATATATATATATATATATAAATGTATATGTATATAGTATATATATATACATTAAATGAAGCAGTTAAACATCTAACACTTACATCTTTATTGAACGTTTCTTTAGCAATTTTAATTGCATCCTTAGCAGCTTGAGCGCAATATTCTGCTGTTTTTGATTGGCTTCCAGTGTCAATTGCAGAAATGAGATAAGGTTTATTTTTACTATGGATGCTATGAGCAATTATAGGATCATTACTGAATGTACTCCAACCATCTTGAATTAGGGTAACAGCACTATCATCAGCAAGATCATTTTTCATTAAATTGATTACTTCTTCATTTATCTTTACTAAGAGTTTTGAAGATATCTGTTTTCTATTTGGTGGCTCATATCCAGGTCTAAGTTTTTTAAGCAGCTTGGTAAATTCAAGATTTTCTACTACGTTGAATGGTATATTTGCTGAAAAGAAAAATCTTGCAACTTGTAAATCCAGTTCATCCTTCTGATTACTTGTTGTTGTAGTAACAAATTTAGAAATAGATGTTTGCTGTTGCATCGTCATTGCAGTTGACTGAACAATTGACGAATAAAAAGAATCACTAATAAAGCTTAAACCATCTTGCTCATTATCATCAGACAGGCTTGACTTATTTGATGCTGCAGATATAGATGGCCTTGACTCTAAAACTGATATATCACTTAACACTTCAACGGAATTATTATTGCTTCGTTTATTCTTTCTTCTGCATTTATCCAAATGGATCTTAACTCTTTCTATTTTTTTAATTATGCTCACTTTGCAATAATTACATATTACTCTATTTGGTTGATCACTTAATATGGTCACTTCACTCCACTCACTAGCCTTATTTCTTCCCCCTGAATGATACTTTGGCATGTTGAAGACGTATAATCTTACTTATATTTTAAATTCAACTAAAAAGATAACTCTATTTAAAAATAGATTTATATTATAAAAAAATGCAATCTGATTATCAATAAAGCTTTTGTATAAGAAAATATACCTGTAAAAAATGAAAAATAGCTTTATTATATTATAAACTATAAATTAATCAAACTTTGATTACTAAAGATTTATACCAAACTTTAGCAAAAACCCATCAAAAACCCACCCAAAAACCCACCCAAAAATCCAGCTGGGTTGGGTTTTTGGTCAAAAACCCGGGTTTTTGCCAACCCTGGTTCCAATGCACTCAAACGGCGTCAATTTCGTGCGCTAATGGAACAAAAATAAGATGAACATGGTGATCTTCTTCTTCATTCAGAGGTATGTTGATAAAAAATAAATAGTTTACCATTACAAGCATAAATAAATGTTTGTCTATTTTTTGTAGGTCAGGTGGCTATCAAGAGGAAAGATTCTTGACCGATTTTGTGAGTGTTTGCCAAGTGTACTGCAGTTCATGGTAACTCGAAAATTTTCATTCATTACAATGTCTATTGAAGAATTTTAGTGTAAACTGGCTTTCCTTTGCGACATCACAGCACAATTCAATGTTCTGAATAAAAGATTACAAGGCCGCCGTGTGCTGGTTTGTGATTTGATCAACCACATCACTTTGGTGAAGATAAAACTTAATTTGTACAAAACTCATTTTGCATCTGGTAATTGTACCCTTTTTCCTAATTTAACTGAATGTCAACCATCAAGGGAAATGTTATCGTCATTCTCATTAATATTGACTGCTCTGTATGATCAATTTGATACAGATTTAATGAATTTGAAGACTTAAAAAAGCATATGGTATTTTTGTGTTATCCATTTGACTTTAATATGAATGATATTAGTATTCTAAAGGAATTTGAAGAAGTTGATATTTTAAAAGCAGAGGATGAACTAATTAATTTTCAACGTGACGACAAGTTGAGAAGAAAGGCACCAAAAAAAGATGAAGTTGGCACTTTTGTTGAAAATTTAATTCTTTTCTGGCATGATGTCATGAAGGAACGTTTTCCAGCTCTTAAAAAACATGCAAATAGACTTATCTGTATGTATGGCACTAGTTACCAATGCGAAAAAACATTCTCAGCCATGAAAATTATAAAAAATGTTTACAGAACAAAACTGACTGACACTCATTTGAATGACCTTGTGCTCGCTGCAACAACAAAATACTCACCAAATTTTTAATTGTGTTTTATATTTTTTTTTTTTTTATAAGTATGTATTTTGTAATGATACAATTATCATAGTAATAATACAATCATTAGTTCTTTAATCTAATTCTATACTATATTATATTATATAGTTAAAAATAGTATATTTTGTATATAATTTATTTATTGCTGTGGGCCGCAACTAAAACAAGAATTTTGCAAGTGGGCTTTTTTGAAAATATGGTGCCGACCACTGTCCTAGTGCAATTATACTCTTATTATTTTCGTTTATTTATTAAATAATTAACAATTAAGATTAGAGTAATTGTAAGATACATTTGAGTAACAAGATTCAGTGATCTTATAGATGCGAATAAGATGCGAGACGTATTTGTTTATCAAGAATATTATGATATTATTATTTTCGCTTAAGTCATGCGGTTCGGAAGAATTAGTATTTTAATTCAAGCCATAAAGACCATAACTAAAGAAAAGTAAATGAATAGTTTGTAAGTAACCACCTTTCACTAAATGTAGATAAAACTAAATTCATCCTGTTCCACAAACCAAATAAAGTTGATAAAATTCCACTTAAACTGCCAAATCTTTTATTCAATAAAACAGATGTAAAAAGGGTATCTACTGTTAATTTTTTAGGCGTAATTCTTGATGAAAACTTGTCATGGAAGTTTCACATCCAATCTATTGAAAGTAAAATCTCTTATAATATTTCCGTACTTTATAAAACAAAACCATTTTTAAACGCAAAAGCTCTAATGAAAATTTGTTTTTCTTTTATTCACAGCTATCTTTCTTACTGCAACATTGCATGGGGAAGTACGAATTACGGAAAACTCAAAAAACTTTATAGTAAACAAAAGCATGCTTGTAGGATTGTATTTGGGGCAAACAGAACTGTTTATTGCGAACCACTATTAAATCGTCTCAAGGCCTTAAACATTTATAAACTAAACATTTACCAAACATTACTTTTCATGTTTAAAATGAAACATGGAATATCTCAACTTATATTTCAATCTTATTTTAGCGAAATATCTCATAAGTATCCAACAAAGTTTTCAGAGGATAACTTTATTGTTCCGAGAATAAATTTAAAAAAATATCGAGGACCTTTTTTAGGGAAAAATTTTATTAAAATCTTTAATAAAGAACACTACTCTTTAGAAAAATTTAAAGCAGTTTCTAAAAGAATCTTACTTCAATTAGATTTTAATTCAATAGCCTTTAAGTATTTTTTTTAAAAGGAAATTTTAAAATAGAAACAAACGCTCCCATTATCATTAAATATTTTTTGTTATATGTATCAAATATATTTGTATTAGTTTACAAAACTTTCTTTACTTTTAAATTTTAATATAAGTGTCATTTTATTATTTGACAAAAGTTATGTACTCTTTAACGTTTTTTTGTATATTTTATTTATATTTGTTTATAAACACGGGCAATTTGTAAACGGGGCTCGGCGATAAGACAGTCTTTGTCTTCTTCTTGCTCCGGCCAATTTTTATAAATGTAATATATCTATATTGTAAATATATGAAACGGCAAAAAAAAAAAAAAAAAAAAAGAACATGCAGGTCTTGTCACCGAAAACAATTTTAATGAAGAGTGTAAAACTTATATTAACTATTAAAATTGTGCTATAAATAAAAGGACAAATGTCTGATTATTTTGGATTTATTTATTTGTTAAAAACTCTATCAGCTTAGGCAGATAGAAATATTTGTTTGTAGCAATTCCTAATAAATATTTCAATTTCATTTAATACGAAAGTTTTAAGCTAAAGAAAGCTTGCCTTGGTTCAGGGTTAGTTGTAAATTAGGAACGTTTACTTTGTTTTTTGTATTTTGAACTATATTGAGTTATATCTCACATTTGTACTATTTTACTTGTTGTTTTTTTTAACGTTTTTTCAATACCATTTTTATTTTGAAATCGCAATATTTTATTTATTCGATAAGTTATTTGAGCGCCAATTTTTAGCCGACCTGGCAAAGTAGTTTTATAATAAATGTTCATTTTAGTTAGAAACATAAAAATTAATTGATAACTGAATTTTTCTTATGTGGATTACTGCATATGCAAATGCTGCAAAACGTTTTTATTTATTTTACTTTTTAGAAACAAAGAAGACTTTTTGTGTCCTCTTGACAGACAAATAATTAATATGGAAAAGGTAAAATGTTTAAGTAATATATAAAGAAATGATAATTTATATAAAAATAATATTATAAATGATAATTCTAATATTTAACATATTAGTTATATAAAAAGTACGATATGCCGTTTAGTATTTTATATAGTAATATATTTTATTATTCTTATTAAGTCTGTATTAATATAACTTTTGTTATTTATGAAAAACAAAAAAATGATTTCATCTTTTAAAAACTTTAAATTTATTCCGTTTTTGTTTTTTTTTTAATTTTAGGTTTTTAATGATAAAGCAACAGAAAGAGTAATACTATCATTACCAATAAACTGTCGCAATTTTAAAAATAAATGTGACTGGGTTGGCAGCATCGCATCTATTGATGTAAGTGTGCAATTATAATAACACTTTTAAAAATTTTTAAACATTTTTCGAATTACAAAGCTCATCTTCAGTAAAAATACAAAAATTATTAAAAAACTGTATTTGATGTAGGTTGCACAATTGTTTACTTTCTAACTAAGTCTATTACAATAATAGATTTTATCAGTAGACTTTTTTTAAATAGAACCATCTAAAACACTGCGTCTTTTCTGAAACTTTATGCCCTAATACTAAATGCCAAGCAGAATTAACGCACAAGGATCTTCCACATCATTTAGAGTTTTACTGCAAATTTCGAAAAATCGAATGTCAATACTGTTCTGCAAAATATCCTCATAACAATATTCAGGTAATATATATGTATATATATATATACATATATATATATATATATATATATATATATATATATATATATATATATATATATATATATATATATATAATATATATATATATATATATATATATATATATATATATACATTTTTTTTTCTAAACTCCAATATACGTTAAGAAAACTGTACTGGGGTGCACAGAGGGTGAGGGATCCGGGTCTGTTTCCTCCGAGCATCTATTATGGGGCTTTACGAAAAAATTAATAACACTAATACAAAATTATACAATTTATTGTTATTATATATTGTGTTAGAATATAAGAATAACAAATAAATTACTCATGTAATAAAAAAAATAATTTCTTTTAAAAAACAAAAATAAACTAAACTTTAAATAAAATTTTTTATTTTTTTTGTTTTTTTATTTTTTATTTTATATTTTTTTAGTTTACAATTATTAATTGTAATATAACAATATAACAATATATAAACTTGATATCTGAAAAAAGATCCAAATGATCTTGTAGCCAGAACCATATAAAATACATCATACGTGCATATATAATAAAATAAAAATACAATTGATTTAACAACTATTAACAATGTAGAATAAACAAAAACTCAAAATAATTTTACAAATTATCCAGAGTGAAAATAACTTTAAATTTCAAAAATATTTTTATATATTGCCAGAAGAAATAGTAAAGTTTTATAATTTAGTTTTAAAAACAGAAAACGAAATTGACAAATCAAAATTTGGAACAACAATTTTGTTCCATAAATACGGTGGTACTACCAGGGACGTGGTGGGGATCGAAATGTGATTGAGTTCTTTATTCATATTTAAAAAAAGCTTATAAATGTCACTGTTTGACAAAAACAAATTAGTATCGTCCGCAAAAATGATGCTCATAAGGTTAGAAGTTTTATTTAAAACAATTACATAGACTAAAAACAAAAGTGAGCTTAGAATAGAACCCTATTAAGATCAGAAATTTAAAAAATCATAATAAAATTTGTTGACGCTTTTAAGAAAAAACTGAAAGCGTCTTTGAAGTTATTTTACTAACCGTAACTTGGGTAAACAAGCTCAAAAAAACTTCGAATTTCTTAATATTTTACTGTATTGGAGCATTTGACTATTTTGGAACGGATTATTTTAATAATCCTAGAAGATAATTTGTAAAATTCAAATATTAAACCGAGAGTAGAGAACTATAAATTGGTTCAAATGGGAATAAAATGTAAAAAGTTTATATAAAAATGATTATGACAAGTTTGATTTGTGCTACGTATTGAATACAGAATTTTAAAAACAATTTTGTAATACTTGTTGTGTTTTTTGTTTTGGCAGTGGTAGTAATTGGAGGTGAGGTGGGGTGGGGGAAAGGGATCTTAAATTGCTACAGGGCTTCTCAAAGTCTCTGTGCACCCCTAAAACTGTAACACATGTACTAATTTAAGTGGGCTCTGTATATTTAGGACCACTGGAACGAGTGTCCCAACAAGCCAATTGAATGCCTTAATAATTGCGGGGAAATAAATCTTATGCGTAAAATGGTTAGTTATTTTTTTATAATATATTATAACTTAAAAATTTCAAGATTATTTCCATTATGTAAATTACTGTTGTTTTTTTAATTTTATTAATGTTATTTTCATTTTTTTAATATAGATGGCTCAGCATCTTGCAAACAATTGCTCGTTAAGTATTCAGCGGTGTGAATATTACAAAATTGGTTGCATATACAAGGTAAATAGAAAAAATATTTATGCATTCTTTTTTCAAATCCTTCAAATCAAACTCAAAGAACATTACAAATAAATTAAAAATTATCACAAATAAATAAAAAATTATTACAAATAATTTTAAGCCGAGGTTGAAAAAATAATGCGATGAAATAAAATACGTGTTTAATATTGAATATTTTTGGAATATGCTTAGTTATTTTGGAATATGCTTTGGCAAATTTATAAGTTTTTTAAAGATCTTTAAAAAACTTATAAATTTTTATTTATAAATAAAAATAGAAATTTATTTATAAATAAAAATAAAAATTTTATTTATAAATAAAAATAAAAATTTTATTTATAAATAAAAATAAAAAATTTTATTTATAAATAAAAATAAAAATTTTATTTATAAATAAAAATAAAAATTTTATTTATAAATAAAAATAAGAATTTTATTTATAAAAAGAAATAAAAATTTTATTTATAAATAGAAATAAAAATTTTATTTATAAATAAAAATAAAATTTGTGTTTATATATAATTTATATATCTATATATATCTTATAATTAAATATATAATTTATATATTTATATATCTTTTTCTTAATAACAATTTTTCAGTTTTTACTTTTTATTTAAAAAAAGTATTATCTTGATTTGGAATTGTTCTCACATACAAATTTATTTTTCTCCTGAATAATTATAAATTTTACCTAACGCTACTTTTTAATTTATAGATACATTTACATTCATGTATATCAATTTAAAAAAATGGTATAATTAAATGTCAATGATTAAAATTATTATTATTATAGTTGTAGCCGTAAATTTACATAGAATGTACACATACAGCGAGCAGGGGAAACACCCCACTATAAACAACCAGTTTTATAAATATTTGTTCCAAACTTTTTCCACAACCAGGAGTCTAGTTTATTTTTGAAAGAAAGTACAGTGGAGTACAAAGTTATTTGCTCTGGTAGATTGTTCCAGTATTTTGCTGATCTATTATACAAATGATTATATCTTGGAAGACAGTTTAGAACATACTCACGCCTTATTTTAGAATGGTGACCACGAGACACGGAGTTAATATATTTTGGTAGATATTTATCATTAACTATATCAAAACGATGTATTAATTTAAAAATTTGGATTAAATCGCATCGAAGGCGTCGAAACTCAAGAGATGGTAGGTTTAATCTTTTTAGCCTTTCGCAGTATTGAAGATGCATATAATAAGCTGAAAAGTTAAGTGAAATACGTCCAACATATATTATGATTTTTTAAATTTAATTTTTGATTTGTATGCATTAAATTAAAATCCATTCATTTGCAATATCTGACTACGTGGACCAAAACAATAATTTTTAATACAATTATCGCACCTCATTTTGAATACTGTGCTTCATTATTCTTTGATGCAAATCAAAATGATATTCAAGTGCTACAAAAGTTACAAAACTTGGTTCACTCATAGTAATGATATTTTGTCTAAATTTAACTGGCTATCTATAAAAGAAAATATTCAAATGAAAGTATATACATTTTCACACAATACTATTCAACTACAGAAAATGAATTTCATTCAAGGACTTTGTATAAAAAACAATGAAGTACACGATTATTTTACAAGAAATGCAAATAATTATAACTTAAAAATCTAGAACAAAAAAGCTGCAAAAGTCTATCCTTTGCAACGGGATAAAGTTGTACAACACATTGCCAAATGAAATTAAATCGCTTGACAAGAAGGATCAAGTCGTGAAACTTTTAAAAGAAAAAGGATGTTTGTAAGATTAATATAAAGTGCTATGTACAATTTTTTATAATGATTTTAAATAGCTATAATCAGTAATCAGGTAAATCATAATAATAACAATAATAATAATAAAAAAACCGATGTATTTTTTTTAAGCGCAAAAAGCTAGCGCACTTTTAAACTTTATTGATATATAGGTACTTTTAGTTGCTTAATACATAAAGAGGGAATTTTTTTAACTCAATTTTGTTTAGTAAACGTCCTCTACCGTATATTAACGAACGTTTAGGAGATTACCCCCCCCCACCCCCCAATTATTAATTTTTTCTTTTCAATAACAACAAAAAAAACTTGTATATAAGGGTGTCCCAAAAAAAATTTAATTCGCTGATCAGTCCCTCCAAAACGTTTTGTTATGGACCCATAACTACACCAGAATTTTTGTAGATTTTTAACCTCTATATATTATTTTACTTCTATATATTATTTTTAAAACAATATATAGAGGTCCCCCAAGGGTCGTGGAAATTTTGAAAATTGGGGTAAAACTGCATTGCGGTCTCTCGAGTTCAGATATTTTTTAGGCACCAGTCTTATGCTTTTATAATTATTCCTTTAGTCTCATTAGAAAGCCCTTGATTAGAAAAATCTAGAAAAAAATAACCTTTTGTGTACATACGTGCCATACAAATACTATTAAAAAAACAAACAATGCTAGCATCAAGCAAAATCTGGATTTTTGGAGAAATCATGATTATTCTCTTAAATAATTTAGTTTAATTTGTAAATTTGTATTAATTTACATTTAAAAAATTTATTCTAAAATGTTGAACTTTATTATTATTCTTGTTATACTTTATATTCTACGGTCACTATTTTTCTGTCTGCCATCTTGTATTTTGAATTTTTAATCAAAAATATTGAAGGTAAACAATTTAATTTAATTTTATGCAATTAATTTATTTTTTTCAACTAAAAAAGTTACTATACTCAATAAGTCACTGTTATAATTGACTATTACTAATTATACAATACTTACTAGAACAGAACAAAATAATTATTATAATTAAATAGAGATTAGAGAATAGGGAAGTCTTAAATAAAATGTAGTGCAACTTTTGCTGCCTTTTTTTTAAGATAATGACTACCTCAACCTCAACTCGTAATACAGACGTCATTTGGTTGATTGGACACTCCTGTGATTTGATAACAAGGGCACACCATCTTTTGGGTCATTATATTACGAGAAACTTTTTTCACAACAACAAGAAGCGGAAATTGATAGTGCAAATAAATTATAAGATCAACTGCGGCACTTCCGGATGAAATCATGACTTCGAATACGCTACAAATCTGATGTTATTTAGAAAATTAGGGATCATTATTGCCAGCATGTTGGACTGATAAAGCACCAATTGAGGAATAGTGACAAGAACCTGCAGAATCAAAAGCAATTTGGTGAGAAACCTTACCATCTGTTTGATGTCAATCATGCCAATATTAATGAACTAATAAAGAATGAGGAAGATCAAAAGTTTATCAAATTGCAGCATGAATCAAGTAGGCATTGGATCTGTTGACTACTTTTTGTCGTGAAAAAAAAAATGAGGGTAAAGACAATTACTTTAGCAAACAGCAGTTTTTGCAGTACAGCAATTTGTGACAGCAACTAGAAGAGATAAAGAAAATGACAATTATGAAGACAATACATCAAAATCAAATTCAAAGAGCTCCTCCTCAGATAATTAACAGCAAGAATCTACAGATAAATTCATTGTCAAACATACGACCCCTGATCAAAGTACAAGTAGTAAAAAAAATGCAGTGAGGAGATAAATCCAAAAGTGTCAGCTATATTAGACAGAACAAACTCAAGTATTCTTTAATCAACAATGATCACAGCAACTCTGGTCAACAAATTAGATGACTCGACGTTGTCAGCGATACTTTCAAAATGCACATTTTATCGTAAACAACTTAAATTATGCCGTAAAGCTGCTAAGCAGATCAATGAGAACTTTTAAGCCAGCAAACGTGTTGTAAAGCAAAGAAGTTGATACCGACTAAGTGAAAAGATATACAGTTTTGATATCTAATATTGAAGCACATAACTTCTGGGTGTAGTGAAATTGAGCTGAGGATCAGGAAAGTCAGCAATGGAGGCGGTTCAGCGCTTTTGAAGTCATGGTAATGTGATTTGTAGATATATACCTAAAAACGATTGCTCAAATACTGGAAGATAAATGGAGTGGAAGAAAATGGAGTCTGCACACTTCTCGAGGCAACAGTTAGTGCTTCCAGAGGTGTACGCATCCACAACAAGTCAACTTATGACTTGCTGTGGATGGCGAAAGATATCTGAGAATTGCATTTAATTAATTCTCTTCAGAGTCAACCTCGTACAACGTCTGAATTACCGTAACTCGAAACTTTTTCAGAACTACCAGTTCTTGACTAGGTTGGTAAATATGTAGTTAAAACTATGTATCATTGTTAAATGTTTATTGTATAACATTTGACAGTTAGTGTCACTTTAACTGTTATATGACTCTTATAGTGTGTCAATGTTTAGTAATTGGGCTTTCACTTGCAAGCAAAGTTAAAAATTCGAGTTTACAATCTCTGTTCACACTGACCGAATTTGTTAAAAATTATACATTTCTAGAATACTATTCTATATTCTACTAATTATTAGCATCCTAGTTTTACAAATATTAGATTAATGAATCCGAATTGCATGACCTAATCCGTAAAAAATTGGCGTCTCTCGTCTTGAGAGACACCAAAGCATTATTACCCCAATTTTCTTTCAAAACTTTTATGACCCTTGGAGGACCCCTAAATATAATTTAAAAAATCTGCCGTAGTTCAGGTCATGTTGTGGGACCATAAAAAAACCTTTGGGAAGGACTGCATTAATATTGTTAACAAGACAAAAAATATTAATTTTCTTCAATAATATATATACATATATTATATATTTTTTTCAATAATATGTGTATATATATATATATATATATATATATATATATATATATATATATATATATATATATACACATATTATTGAAGAAAATATATAATATATATATATTATTGAAAAAAATTAATATTTTTTGTCTTGTTAACAATATTAATGCAGTCCTTCCCAAAGGTTTATATATATATATATATATATATATATATATATATATATATATATATATATATATATATATATATATATATATATATATATATATATATATATATATATATATATATATATATATATATATATATATATATATATATATATGTAGTTTGAAAAGTATACAACTAATTTTAAAACGCTATACTCTTGGTAGAAATATTTGATGACTGTTTAATTTCTCATTTAAAATATATTAAATAAAATAAAAACATATATTAAAAATATAATAAAAATGAACTGTAAAAATATAATATTTCAATTGAATTACTTGCAAGCAATTTATTTTTATAAAAATAACTTTCATGAAAATAACTGCAAAAAGCCATTTTTGACCAATTATTCGTTAAATAGCTTTTTTAATTGGATCAAGGACCAACAAAACTTATAAATTTTTTTTGAGTGAACTGGGTCTACTATTAGGAAGGTTGGTACTAAATTTGAGCTCAAAATATTAAAAATTTCTCGAGATAACACATTTTGAAATATAACCCGGTTTCTTTTAAAGACCTGATTTTTACTATGTTTTTAATTGTATATTTATCTAAATACTCTTAAATATTGATTAAAAAACTCAATAAAACTTGCATTCTAAAAGTTTGTTTAATAAGGAATCCAAATATTGTACTTAATAAAGATAAAAAATAAAAGTTGTTAAAAATGTATGAGACTTTGACTAAAGGTTTTACAAATACGTTTTGTAAATAATATACATAAAAAATTCAGTTGAATTTTTCTTATAAAAAGTTAAACTTTTCTTACAATTTATTAAGTATTTCTTTGGACCAGTTACATTTATAAAATGGAAAATTAACTGTGTTCCTTTAAAACCAGTAAAATATCTTGTAACTTCTCCTCTTTAACTGTTTAATCGATAAAGTCTTTTACCAATATAATAGCTCTTTCGCAACAGTCATTGACACAGACTAATCTTTTTATAAACCTTTGCATATTTTTATAATCAGAATCCATAATTCCACAAATCAGGTGAACTTTCTAACCACTTTGAAAAGTAAGGAACTATTTTAAAAATTAGCCAAGAATTTCGACCAACGTAATCATTAAGTTCTGAATGTTCATTTATTTCTACAGGCTTAAACTTTTTAAGTTTAATGATTTCAGGTAAATTTGTTTTTAACAACTGCTGAGCAACTTTTTCTTTAATTTTGTTATCAAGACTTTTATCAAATAAACAAAAGACAACCGTTTCTTCAGAAAGATAATAACTGTGTCTAAGATAGCTTGAAATAAAAGCTTGAGAAACATCAGCATCAAAATCTTTTATTTTTATCATTTCTTTAACTGTACACAAATCATTATGAGCAGCAGAAACAATTTGACTTTATTGAAGAAAGTTTTTTGCATGAACTGAAGCTACATATATCACAGCCTTTGAAAATACTATTTCTTTCTTTAGGGTTAAAAACTTTATGATTGGTTGAGTAAGCTTCATTGCTAAAATGTATAAAGTGTCTGCCATAAATCTAGCTTCATGTTCAGCAGCTGGTTTGTGTATAATAAATTCAGGAACTGCCTCCCTTCCTTCCAGAAAAATAATGACATATTGACACAGATGTTTATAATCATTTCTGGAAAAAGTATGAAGTTCCAAAGCTTTTTTGCAAAAAGATAAACTTTTTTTAGCCATATCTTCTAATGGGGTTCCACTAACTTTGCACCACGGAAACTTTGATAACTGATCCATATTATTTTGTACATTTTCATAATGCATTGGCCAAGCAGCTTTGAATCTCGTATAAATAGATTTTGATGGACCTTTGCTTTCTGTTTTAATGATTGCAATTATTGCATGTAAAATATGTCTTTTTTAGAAATGTTTTCTACAAAGAAGTCTTAACAGAGGTCAGTTTAAAAGTTCTTCTAAAATACTTATACAACCCTTATTATAACCAGTGTTACATGCTGTTGTGTCAGCACAAATCCCAACTATAATGCTTTTAATTCCAAACTTTTTTATAACATTTAAACATGCCAATGCTTGATCATATCCTTTCCCCGATTGACATTCAACTATGCCTAGCAGCTCATCCTGTTGTTTTCTATTTGTATTTAAATCCCAGTCTGGACTTGTAACAACAATAGCTAGATGTTTGCTTACTTCAGAAATATAGTCTTCATTTAAAGTTGTAACTTTTTTTGTATCAATGTGCAAAATTAAATTACTATTTTTACATTTTTCTTTTATTTTTTCCTTAATTAACTCTGATTCACTTACATACAAATCTTTTCTTATTTTTTCTACTTTTGTTTTTGAAAGTTTTACTTCATTAAGATTGATATTTCCACATCTTAAAAATAATGCTAATAATCCTGTCTGTACTCCAACAGAAATTCCAAAACGCCCACAAAATGTTGAAGTTTTTTTAATAAGTTTATCAATATCTACTGTTACTGTCACTTTATTTTGTTTTATGTTAGTTGATTGTTTTTCAATTTCATCATAATTATAATCTTGAAATTCTTCATTATCAAAATTTTCTAACAAAAATAAATCTTGATTTTCATTAATACAATTACTATTTGATGAAAATTGTTTTAACTTTGAGATTTTTGTGGCAGATTCTTCCTTTTGCTCTAACTCCTTGGCTTTCCTTTTGCGAAACTTTCTGTTGGAATAAACTTTTTGATATTTTTTGTCTATTTTGTCAATTATCATTGTTCTTGCAGTTTTTTGATCTTAATAAAATAAAATATCGCATTCTTTTGCATCTTTTGATCGAATTCTATCTTTTTCAATTATTTCATAAAGTTTTGGGTTCCCTATGTCAAACAATGCCAAAAATTATTTTCATGCAGCTTTTGTGTTTCCGTTTTTTTTGAACGATATGATACTACTTTCTTGTGATGAAATATTAATTTGGAAACATTTTCCCTGAAATAATTTAATAAATTTTCATTTGTCATTTGTCAGCTTAAATTTTTATATCAATAATTATCAATAATTACGTAATAAACTATAAGCATTATTTAAATCAATAGTTACCTAATACTTCTGCAACCAATGTGTGGTATACCACCCATAAGCCACGGTTTTCTAAGAGCAGAAACAACACATTTTGGGGTGACATATTTTATCATTACATAGTAGCTCGTGATTTATATCTAGAGGGCAGGAAATAATTTCGGTGTGTTTTTTTTTTTTTTTTTTTGAAATTCAGTAATCTGCAGCAGTGAAAAAATTATCTTAAAACGTCGCCCTTTGTAGGCAAAGTTCTGCAACCAATTTCGTGGGTTTGTCCTAACAAAAATATTTTAGTATTTGAACGTGTTGATATTGCCATTTTAAATTTAAAAAGTAACAAACGCAGCTTTCATAAAATTTATTATTGCGCGCTGTGAATAAAACCCGGCGGTGCAAACTAAAAAAAAAAAATTCTCTAAAAAATGTAATAAATATGAAATATTGAAACTCCTAGGGAGGACAGAGAATTTAAAATTTTCCAAAAATTTTTTCAGGAAAAGTCTTTTATAGCAACATAGAATGGGAAAATAAATTGGCAAAGTTGTATTTTTTTCAACCCCTAAAAACGGACCTGCCTAGTGATCATTCATAAACTGCATTTAAACGATAGCTGTGGTTCTATGATACATAGTGCTATCCCGCATCCTTCTGGAAATCTAAATTAACAACTAAAATATTATTACTTTTTTTTAAATGCTGAAACTTATATTTTCCGAGAAATTAAAGTTTATTTATACAGTAACAAAAATTGCATTTTTCTGTTCCATGCGTGATTCCGTTTCAAACTTGATTTATTCTTTGATAACCTTTCTAATGTATACCATTTTTTGTTTACAAAATGTTTATATAGATTAGAATGAAACAAGAGTAATTTGAAGATTGTCAATTTTTTTTTTTTTTTTAAAATAATTTGCAAAGTTATAAGTGCATGTTTGCAAGGTTATAAGTGCACGGTTGCAAAGTTATAAGTGCGCGCTTGCAAAGTTATAAGTGCATATACATTTTTTTGGAAATTATTTTATTAGCTTTAATAATATTGCGCAAAATATTGAATTAAATTACAGCATAGCAATCAACAAGTGTTTTTGTTTTTTGTTTTTTTTTCTAAAAAGTGATTAGTTAGTGAAAATTCTTTACATTTTTACTTAGTTTAGCATATTGTTATATATCAATAACTTTTCTAGATTAAACACTTCCATAATTTTTGAAAAATAGTATACATTATTTAATCATAATATTTTAAAAAGGCATGCAAAAATATACATTATTAAAAAAAATAAACAAATCATTTTAAATATTTTAATTAGATAAATTCTTCTCTTCTTATTGCCTTTTCCAACCATCTTCTCATATTTGTATAAAAGGCATTGCACTGTTGACTATAACTATTATCAGGTGATAAAATAGATTCTAGAGTTTCTTCAACAGTCATATCGGGATTAGCATTTCTCGTGGATTTGAAATTGGATTTTAACATTGAAAAGAACTCTTCGATTGGGTTTAATTCAGGGGAGTATGGTACTAAAAACTTGTTAGTAATATTTTTTTCTCTTAGTAATTGAAGTACTGCAGCTGCTTTATGAAATTTTGCATTATCTAGGATAAGAATTTTATTTGGATTTACTGCAAAGAATAGTACTAGTTTGTTGTTGATAAAATCAATAAATGATTGTGTATTGCATGCGCCGCTTTTGTATTGGTAACATTCAACTCCTAAATTGGAAATTAAGCACATGAGGCTAACATTTTGTCCTTTATTTGCAGGAACTGTGAAGTACGCTTTTGTATCTTTTGGAGAATAGCCATATGAGCGCACTATATGTTTATTGAATCCGGTTTCGTCTAAAAAAACCAAATTTGAATCAGCAATTCTAGCAACTTCTGCCGCAAAAATTGATCTCTGATTTATTCTTTCCATGGTGTTTCTTTCTTGAGGAATAATTGCTAATCTTTTTCGTGTCAATATTAATTTCTTTAATTTACGGGAAACAAATGAGATTGAAACGTTTTTACCATGTTGTTCTAAAATTTGCGTTTGAATTTCTTTTTGAACTACGGCATTGTTACAGACCACGAAATTAAATATTGTCTGTTCAATGTTTGTATTTATAGAACTTTTGATTTTATACGTTTCTTTTCTTTTTACTGTAGATGACGTGAAGGGTATATTATTATCACTATTTTTTATAACACGACCAACAGCATTTCGAGTTAAATTGCAAGCGTTAGATATTTCCTTGATTGAATATTTTTCACAATTTCTCATTGAAATAATTGTATTTTTAATTTCTTCTGTAATTGTTTTCCGTACTTTTCTTTCCATTGATATTTAAAATATAAGAGTTATAATCAATTTTATAAATGCACTTATAACTTTGCAAAACCCTGTAATGATAAACTATGTAGGGATCGTCCGTAAATTACGTAACGCTAAATTTCACTAATAAGCAAAACTAAAAAGGTTAAAAGTTTTTATTCGCAGAGCCTTTAGATAAATAAAAAATCAAAACAATCCATTAAGTATAATGAAAATCGCCGCATAAAAGAGCTTAAGATCTCCTACTTCTGTTTTTAAATAAATTTAGCGTTGCGTAATTTATGGACGATCCCATAAACAAGGTAACTAAATGAGGATCATGAAAAACCTTAAATAAGCCGCTTTTTTCAATTAAGCCGTTTTTTTAAAATGCATCAAAGAACTTTTTATAATGACGAGATAAAATAAACTGAAAAACTACTTACAATAGTGAAAGAAAATAAACTTTATAAAGTATATATTCCTATAATGTCAAATACAATGTAGGTAAAGCAAAATTTCTAAGAAGTAAAAATATTGCAAGTGAATATATAAAATACTTACCCATTTTTAATATTGAATTATAAATAATATAAAAAATAATGTTTTAAATAGCTTCTTTTTAAATACTCAAGTTTTTTTTAATAATGGTAATGTTTGCAATAATAATGCTTATGTTTGCAATAACAATGCTAATGTTTGGAGATGTCAAATCTTTTTTATAATAATTTTTTGATAAGTTAGTTAACTGTTTTTACAAACTTTAGGGTACAAAAGCTCAACGAGAAACTCACATAGAATCTTCTATGAACTTTCATCTTTTATTAGCAATCAACAAAATTAACAGCTTAAATGAGATAATCAATAATAAAGAGGAAAAGCTAATCAGCTTAGAAAACAAATTTGCAAGTTTGAAACAAACAGAGTTAAACGAGACGTTTATAAAAACTGCAGAAGAAAAGTTGAACAAGTTGGAATCTGATATTAATAATGTTAACAATAAAATCAACTTGATTGAAAAACAACCAATGAACAACCGATATATGTGGTTATTAAATGATATAGATAAAATAAACTCTAAAGAAACAAAAAAATTAAAGGGCCACAGCATTTGTAGCAGTCCCTTTTATTCTGCTCCTTATTCATACAAGTTTTTTTTAGAAATTTACTTGAACGGTTTCGGTGAACATAAAGGGACACATTCTTCTATTTACCTTAATATTATAAAAGGTGAATACGATAACCTGCTGGAGTGGCCTTTAACAAAAAAAATTAAAGTTTCTCTACTCGATCAAAGTGCGAACAGAAAACACAAGAACTTTTATATCGATCCTAAAAAAAGCAGTCCTGAATACTTTAACAAACCAACCTTACAGCCTAAAAGAATTGGATGTTTAATGCCCATCATAACTTTTCCTTGTCCAGGTTTTATTATGAATAATACATTAATGATAGAATGCGAAATTGAAGACTGAAACATAAACTTATAAAACGTTTTACGTCTAGTTTGTAATCATGAATGCTAAAGCTAGAAAGTCGCTACTAAACAGATGTATCTTCAATCCTCATGATATACATATTACGTTTAATTTACCTATAGTGAACTATTTTATTTTTTGTTTTGTTTTTTCTGCTTATTTTTTTATTTAGATTATATTGTAAATTTTTTTTTTGTTTTGTTAAAAATTTGAAATTAAATAAAAATACTTTTTTCTTCTTTTTTATAGTTTAATCATGTTTTCTGGTTGTTTTTTTACAGTTATTTTTGATGTTGATTTACGTTATTTATAGCAAAAATAAAACATATTTTAACCGAAGTATTTATATATAGTAGCATTATATATTTTATTATTTTTATAAAGTTTAAAAATTGGGTTTAATTCAGCCGCAAAACATTCAATTCAGGTTTAATGGTCTTAAGAACGAAAATTGGGAAGAAAACGAAGAAAAAATACAAGAACCTTTAAAAAAAAACCTTGGATTCAAAGAAAATATAAACATTGAGAGAGCCCATAGAATGGGAAAAAAAAAGAAACAGGAGATTCAAGAAAAACAGAACTATTATAGTGAAATTTTTAAATTACAAGGATAAAAAAACGGTTGTGGATAATTATTTAAACGGAGTGTCTACCCGGTGGGAAATCGGCTAGCGAATAGCTAGCTATAGTCGTAAAGATAATGACATCGATATGGCCAGAAGGATCGCTAGCTTTTTTAAGTTAGCGAAAAGCTATCCATATTTGTAAAGATAAAGACAGCGATTTGGCTACGTGGACAGCTAGCTTAATAAGCTAAAAACCCACTGGCTATTGTAGCTAACGTCATATCGTAATAAAATAGCTGTCTAAAAAAATTTTATATATAGCTACCAATCGGCTATAGTTTAGTAAATATTTTATAGCTAGCTACAAAGCTATGATGTGTAGCTAACGACACATTGCTACAATATCTCAATGTTTAAAGTTCAATTATTCTCATAATTATAATAAATTCGACACTAAAATAGTTAGTTTTTATAGTTAGTTTTATTAGTTTATTTCGCCGTTAAAAATATTCACAATGTACAACAAAAAGTACAATTGACTGGAGCGTGAAGAAAGCATAAATTAGCCGTATAGCCGAGCCCCAATAGTAACACAAATAAATATGCGTAATATATATTAACCGGTGATATATAAGCAACAGCATTTAAAAAAAGACAATTTTAAGATGTTAAGATATAAAAAAAAGTAATAAATTAACAAAAAAAATAAATAAAAAAATGATTAAAATATAATGATAAAAATGACAAAAATTTTCTGTTTTTAGTTATAAACTGAACGTAATTTGATATATATATATATATATATATATATATATATATATATATATATATATATATATATATATATATATATATATATATATATATATATATATATATATATATATATATATATATATATATATATATATATATATTGTATATATATATATATATATTTTTTTTTTCAAAATAATTTGAAATTAAAATGATAAAATTTCTGTTCCATTATCATAAAATATACCAAAGAAAATTGTAAAGACATTGAAGTTCTTAATATTGACTTTACTCTTTTGTTAAATGGTCTAGATTTGGAATATAATAATAAGCCATAAATACCGCACCAAGGACTTGGTCCTTGGTGCGATATATATATATATATATATATATATATATATATATATATATATATATATATATATATATATATATATATATATATATATATATATATATATATATATATATATATATATGTGTGTGTATTCCTATTTATATAATAAGCCATAAATACCGCACCAAGGACTTGCCCAGTAAGCACAGGACGTTTTTAAAACGTTTTAATTCCGTTCAATTTACGGTCGGACGTTAAAAGAACCAATACAATCGTTTTTTTTGCAAACGTTTTTTTTAATGTTAATTTAAACGTTTTTTTAGCGTTTTTTAAACGTTTTAATTTTTTTATTAACTTACGAAATTTCTCAGTTAGCTTATAAACGTTTTTAAAACGTTTTTTTAACGCGATAAAAAAACTTTTTTTAAACGTACAGCACAGCAATATTTAAAAGAGTATGTTTACGCAAATAATGGCGTGACCTTCGATTAGGCGAATTAATTTATTTAAATAAAATTTATTTAAATAAAAATTATATAAATTAGTATATATTTAAATCAACCAAGTGTTTGTATTCTTTTCTTGTAGAATTAAATTTAAAAATATATTGGAGTATTTTTAGTTTAAAGTTGTATGCCTTCGTTGAAACTAGGTTGTGTTTGTATTTTGTATCAAGTAGATATGTTTAAGAAAGTTTTAATGGTGTGGTTAGCTAGATTATTTTACTCTATTAAATAACTTAATTGTTGAGTAAACTTGAATGCTTAAAAAAACTAGATTAAGTTTTTAATTCTACTTAATTATCAACTGCTTTTAACGCAAAAAACTTATTTGGATTTGAGAAAAGGGAACAACATTCTCAGAGTTTTTCTTCTTTAACTCTAAAAATTAAAAATAATAATATCAGTGGTTTTTATAAATAAATTTCTATAGTTAAAAAGGCTGAAAGGAAAAAATACGATGATTTGTTTCAAGAAAGAAAGTGACTTACTTCAAAATGTCATTTTAAAATTTTTATTCTTTAATGATATTCTGGTGTTATTACCAAATGTTTAGCAGTATGAAACCTATAATATTATATACCATACTATATACCCTATTTTACTTATAAAGTTAATAATCTGTAAAGTAATTTGTAAAAATTTTTTAATTGTAAAATTGCTACATAAGAAGACAAGTTGTTAGATGAAATTCAAATATTTTCTATGTTTGTGTTGTGTAGGTCAAAAAATAAAAAACAAAGATGACCAAGAGATTCATTTTAAGACACATCAATCTTCATCATCTTTAAATAAAAAGGATAAACATTATGGATTTCCATTATCTCGAGCAAGTAAGTCTTTAGTTAAATATAATAATGTAATGTTTGTTGTATAATGCTAACATGACTGTCAATATTAAAAAACATCACTAAAATGATGAGGTTCCAATTTTAACTTTAAATAATCTTCATCAAATCCAATATTTCAATATTATAAAAACTATAAATCTATTGAACAATCTTTCTTGTCTAACCCGAAATCTGAGAAAAACGCTAATATATATAATATAGCATTGCCACTATTAGGTATTTCACTGTCTATTAGTTTTTCTCTGATTTAGGGTTAGACCAGTAAAGTTGTTAAATTGTTGAATTTATGTATTTTAAATTTATTTATTTACATAGTTTAGTTTTGACTATGCAAAATTTAATAAGTGTAAATTTGTTTACACTTTCAATATTGTGTGTTGCTTCTCTTAAATGAGATAAAAACCCAAGGATGCAAAAAACTTAATATAAAATAGTGTGAAGAAGAAGTAGTAACTGAAATGAACAGCATAATAGAATTTGATAATTTTGACTCAGCACTTGACAAAGTTTCATCTAGTAACTCTGTAGTACCTCTGCAGTTGTAAATTGCTAAATACTGATTTGACAGATTTTTCTTTTTTTTTTAATTTTCTTTACAATATATAATTTTTACTACTTAATTAGGAATTGTCAGATTTCCATTATTTCTTTCTATTAGAAACAAAGAGTTCAAAATATTGGTGGTAAGAACTGTCAAAACTTGAGATAGCTATGATGAAGAGGTTAGTAAATTAAAAGTGCATTCCTATAAATACTCTGTTTAATTTTATAATGATATTACCCCCATCTTACAATCCATAATACAAATCCCATGCATGGCTCTACGTTAGCCGTTTTACCATAGTGGGATGACTGAATAACCGTGAATTTCATACGCGCAAACTAGCACATGTGCAAAGCAGTTACAAAAACTGACACAATGCCAAATGGCATTAGTGCAAATGGGCATAACTGCACAAAAAGAATTCCAAACATTGACATAATTGCAAACTGCTATAAGTGCAAACTGCCATATGTGTAAATTGGCATAAGTGGGCTAAATAGATTTACAAACATTCGCATAAGTGTGAATTTCCATAAGTGGGAACTGGTATAAGTGTGAAGCAGTTGCAAAAACTCGCAAAAGTGCAAACAACATAAATGCTAACTGGCATAAGTGTGCCAAATAAATTTGCAAAATTTAGCATAATTCCAAACTGCAAATTTATTACACGCACTTATGTCAGTTCACACTTCTGCCTGTTTTTGTAACTGTTTTGTACTTAATCAAATTTTACACTTATGCCTATTTGTAATGTTTGCTAACCTGTTTGGCGCACTAATGCCAATTTACACTTTTTCCAGTCTGCAAGTTTAAAGCTATAGGTTATCCCATAGCTTTAAACTTTGGATTAATGGTTAGTGTGCTATTTTTTAAATAATAGATTAGATTTAATTAATAAATTAACTGTATTGTTAAATTAAAATCTAAATGTTTAATTACATTTAGATTTTATGGAAAAAAAAGAAAAAAATTTTAAATACAGTAGTTAATTATAATTTCATAAATAATGAGATATAATATTATTAAAATAAATTATTTTTAGTTTTATGACAAATTCACTCATGGCCAAATCTAATATGGCAGCTGGAAAAGGCAAAGAATCTTTTTAGTCTAACCAAGTTATACAACTTAATAAAAGGTACGTTTATATATATATATATATATATATATATATATATATATATATATATATATATATATATATATATATATATTATATATATATATATATTTATATATATATTTATATATATATATATATATATATATATATATATATATATATATATATATATATATATATATAACATATATATATATATAAATCTGTATAACAATTATTAGGCGGGATTGTATTTCTAATTTAGCGAATACTAACCTGTTTCCTATTTTTCTCCTCTTCAAGCACTATATATATATATATATATATATATATATATATATATATATATATATATATATATATATATATATATAACATATATATATATATAAATCTGTATAACAATTATTAGGCGGGATTGTATTTCTAATTTAGCGAATACTAACCTGTTTCCTATTTTTCTCCTCTTCAAGCACTATATATATATATATATATATATATATATATATATATATATATATATATATATATATATATATATATATATATATATATATATATATATATATATATATAATATGGCTAGTGATTGCCAAAAGGCAATAATTAATTATAAAACAAGCAGATTTTTTTTTGAGTCCCAGGTTGATATGATTTAGAAAAAAAAATCAAAAACATTAGGACCAGTCAAGAATTTAGAACCCAAAGAGGAACCTCAAGATATCATCAAAATCAAAAAACATTTTATTTTACTTTGTTCTTATGAATAATAGACATCGATTCGTGTCTCAGGAAAATTTATTTTTTAATTTTTTTTGTTATGAAAATCACTATACTCTAATATATATATATATATATATATATATATATATATAAATATTTATCTATATATATATATATATATATATATATATATATATATATATATAATATATATATATATATATATATATATATATATATATATATATATATATATATATATATATATATATATATATATATACTTTGTTGGATACTAATGAGATATTTCGCTAAAATAAGATTGAAATATAAGTGGAGATATTCTATGTTTCATTTTAAACATGAAAAGTAATGTTTGGTAAATGTTTAGTTTATAAATGTTTAAGGCCTTGAGACGATTTAATAGCGATTCGCAATAAACAGTTCTGTTTGCCCCAAATATAATCCTACAAGCATGCTTTTGTTTACTATAAAGTTTTTTGAGTTTTCCATAATTCGTACTTTCCCATACAATGTTGCAGTAAGAAAGATAGCTGTGAATAAATGAAAAACAAATTTTCATTAGAGCTTTTGGGTTTAAAAATGGTTTGGTTTTATAAAGTACGGAAATATTATAAGAGATTTTACTTTCAATAGATTGGATGTGAAACTTCCATGACAAGGTTTCATCAAGAATTACGCCTAATAAGTTAACAGTAGATTTCCTTTTTACATCTGTTTTATTGAATAAAAGATTTGGCAGTTTAGGTGGAATTTTATCAACTTTATTTGGTTTGCGGAACAGGACGAATTTAGTTTTATCTACATTTAGTTAAAGGCGGTTACTTATAAACTATTCATTTTCTTTGGATAATTCTTCATTAAAAATTTTAAAAAGAATTCTTATATCTCTGTGTGAATAAAACAGATTGGAGTCGTCAGCAAACAATATAAGATATAATTTTTTAGATGCTAAAAATAAGTCATTTATATACACTAGAAACAATAATGGTCCTAAGATAGATCCTTGAGGAACCCCGCAGCTTATAATTTTTTTTTTGGTTTCATTTGTTTTATTAATTTATTTATTTATTATTTATTTTATTTATTTATATTTATTTCGTCAGTAAAAAAAAAAGAATACAATGCCGTGTAATATAAATAAGATCTACATGACCGGGGTTAAAAGAAGACAATACTTGCCTTATCACTACACCCTGAAGTGCTTTCATAAGCAAGCGTGTACAACCATTAAAAATTAAATTTACAATTACTTTGTGCCATTTAAAAAGTTATATAAAATTATTTACAAGTATGTTAAGACTAGTTACTAATCTATAATCAAAAGAAAATAGTAAAAAGAAATTTAAAAAAAAAAAAAAAAATCAAAACTATAGATAAGCTAATAGGATAGTTTATAGAGTTTATAAGATAATTGTTAAAAATAAAGAAAAAATAAAAATAAAAAATTTTTAAAAAGAATTTAATTCATTAACATCGTTAATAAGTTTTTATTTCAATTTTTTGTTTTGAATAGGTAAAGAGAAGAACAATTTTTCAGCTCGTCACTTAATAAAGCGTTCCATAATTTAGGACCTCTTATAGCAATAGAAAATTTGGTAGCCAAATAATGCATTTTAGGTTGCTCATAATTGTACTTAGAAAATCTTGTAGGGTACATGTGATTAATTTTATTGAAAAGTGTACTAAATATTATAGGTGATATTTTATTATGAAGTTTGTACATAAAAATAAGAATTTGATAAAGGTTTAACTGAAAAACATTGAGTATGTGAAGATTATTAAATAGTTCTTTAGTATGTGTGAATCGACCTGCATTTGAAATAATTCTGACAGCATGTTTTTGTTTACTAAGCAGTTTTTTAATTTTACTTATATTAGAGCTGCACCAGGCAATGTTTGCATAGTTTATATAACAATATATGAGGGAGAAATATAAAATTTTTAGGCAGTTTTGGTTTAAAAACTGCTTGGCTTTGAATAGTATACCAATATTTTCTGAAACTTTATTTTCTATTGTACTTATGTGTTCTCTCTATGTTAAGTTTTCATCAAGTATCACTCCTAAAAATTTTATTGATGACTCTCTAATTATTTTAGAGTTGCCAATATAAAGATTAGGAAGTTTTAGTGGAATGTTTTCTTTATCGTGAACTCTATAAAAAAAAGTATACTTAGTTTTATTTAAATTTAAGGACAATTTGTTCGCCTTGAACCATTCTGCTAGATTTAAAAGTTCTTTGTTTACTATTTTAAATAAAAGTTTAATATCTCCATTAAAGTAAAATAAATTCGTGTCATCTGCAAATAAAACAGAGTTTAAAATGTTTGAAAACTTATGAAAATCGTTTACATAAATAAGAAATAAAAGAGGACCCAGAATTGAACCTTGGGGAACACCGCAATTTATTGTCATATAGGAAGATTTTCCTTCTTCGTATGATATGTATTGTTTTCTATTGTTTAGATAACTTATGAACCAATCTAAATATGTGCTTTTAATACCATAACTTTTGAGTTTTTTTATAAGAATATTATGGTCTACTGTATCAAAGCTTTGCTAAGATCTATAAAAACTCTAAAGGAAACTTTTTCTTGTCAAATGCTTTAAATATATCATGAACAATATTAATAATGACATGGTCAGTTGAATTACCTGGCTGAAATCCAAATTGTTTATTATATAAAATATTATTTGTATTTAAAAAATTCAAAATCCGATTATACATAATTTGCTCTAAGATTTTTGAGAAGCAAGGGAGAATTGAAATTGGTCTGTAATTTTCAGAATTAGAAATATCTCCTGATTTAAAAATAGGTATAACCCTTGCAATTTTAAGTTTCTCAGGATAGACACCTTGTTTTAAAGAGAGATTAAAAATATGTAAGAGAGGGATTGTCAAGTATTTTATTGATTTTTTTATTACATTACTACTAATATTATCAACTCCTACACTTTTGTTTTGTTTTAAAAGATTTACTGCATCTATAAGTTCATTTTCAGTAATTTCATAAATATCCATTTTAGAGGTCTTATTAGGAGTACACAGCAAAAAATATAACGCTAACATAACGGTTACATAACGGTAAATGAAAAATTTGGCGTTATGTTTACCGTTATGTTAATAAATATGTCTAAAGCGTTATGTTGGCCACAGTTATTTGTATATTTTTATATAAATGTAAGGCGTTATGTTTACCGTTATGTTTACCGTTATGTTTAGTAAACATAACGGTAAACATAACGGTAAAATGGAAATAGTAATCTATGGAGAAAAAAAAAGCGCAAAAAAAAAAAGTGCGAAATGAAAGAATCTTTTAGGACTGTTTATTCGTTGCACAAGACTTTTTAAAAAAAAATAAAATATGGTTGACTATTTGTAGCAAAATAGAACGATTTATAAATCGTTGATATATATATATCATAATGCATAAGCTATATATAACAACGGTAAAATATTATGCATATAATAAATATATCAATTTTACTGGAAAACATAATGTTTTCCAATAAAATTATAACATTAGTTTATATATATATATATATATATATATATATATATATATATATATATATATATATATATATATATATATATATATATATATATATATATGTATATATATATATATATATATATATATATATATATATAAATATGTATATATATATATATATATATATATATATATATATATATATATATATATATATATATATATATATATATATATAAATAAATCCCTAAGTAAAATCATATAATATATGATTTAAATATTGTATTAGTTAACGTGCCTTATTATTATTTTATTTTTAATTTTATTATTTAACGTGCCTTATTATTTATACAAAATAATATTTATACAAACATGGTTTAATGCCATTACTTTCGTAATTGATATAGTAAAGAAAAGAAAAATCAAAGAAGAAGTTAAAATGGTCAAAGCTGTTCTTGTTAAGCACCTTGGAGAGCGAAAAATTGTTATTGCTAATAATAGCAGTATTATTGATTTTTTGAATAATAGTATGCATATTTATTTTTAAAAATTTCAGAAATTTACATTTAATAATGTTTACTGATTGTTGTTAAGAATTATTGTTATTAAATAATATTGCCTAAGTAAATTTTTTCAAATGTATATCTATTTCATATTTTCATTTTAATTCTTATAAGTTTTTAAAGTTATGTTTTTTTTTATTTCTTATATGTTTTTAAAGTTAACTTATATAAACTTGACTATAGTCAAGTTAACTTGAAAAACAGACTGCCCACTTTAAACAGATACATTTCAACATAAAATAAAATTTATCTTTATTTATACACATAAATATATATTTTATTATATGTTTTATTTTAAGTGGCTGCTTTTAAGTGGGGTTGTCAAAGTCTGGTGTCAAAGTTACGCCACATAACCTTTTTATTTTGAAAACTCTTTTTAAATAAATTTGAAATATGCTTAGAGCCTATTAGAAAAATATTAGAAAATTTATGTTTTGTTTTTATTTTAGTTTCAAAGTTGTGTTTTTATTTTAGTTTGAGAAGAAGTTTGCTAGTACAAGTGGGAACATTTGTGGAATCGCATGGAATGGATGTAATGTCGATGAAGATAATTTAGTTGCCATTCTAAATGAGCAAAATCTGGAAGTTGAGGCCTTGTCTTTGCCAGTGTCTAAACTTTATTCAAGCTCTTTTTGCCAAAGTTTAAATGATTTTTCTCCTGTTAAAAACCCTGTATACACCGACCTTGAAAATTTTCATGCTTCTTCACCACAGCAGTGTTTATCTTTACCCGTGACAAATTTAGAGAGCACAGCAGATGTAACTGAACCAGTTTTTATTCAAGAAGCTTTACCTCAAAAATGTGCATTTTCGCAGTCTTCATTGGCAGGCATTTCCAGTCAACTATCCTATACTGCTCAAGTGGCTTTCACATCTTATCCACTAACAAATGCAATCCAAAAAGTAAGGTTAAATTGTTGTATTTGTGATTTTAAAACATATAGACCTTATATAATGATATCTCATTATAAATTACATGGTCAGGCAGGTTCAGTAGTATGCGATAATTGTTTTTCTAAATTTAAAAGTATTAGAGGTTTTCAACTTCATTATAAAAAGTCTCATTCCAATTACTATGATTGAAGATGTTGAAGAAATTGATGACACTGTTGAAGAAATTGATGACACTGTTGAAGAAATTGATGACATTGAGATTCCTTCAGAGAATAGAAAGCTTGGTGCATTAGCTTTACACCTGAGAGGAAAATATAGATGTTCTGAAAATGTAGTCAATATTGTTTTTTCAAATTTAAAAGATATTTTAACTGATAACACACCAAAAGAAGAGCTATCTACAATTTGCCAGCAATTATCAGCAGAATATTCAAGAAAGCAGTACTTTAAAAATGCTTTTAATGTGCCAAAAGTTGAATCTATATCTAAAAATGGCTTACAGGGATGCTATATTTCATTTAAAAAAATGCTTAAGTTTATTTTGATATCCCCTGAATATGATAAGTGTTAAGAGAATTCTTCTGAAATATTGATTTCATTGTTTTCAGATGATTTAGGTATTACCAATGCAATCGGTAAATCGAGAGGAAAGTACAAGTTGTGGGTTTTGTATTTTCAGTTGTTAAATGTAGCTGATTATAGCCTCAGTAAAACTTTTTCAATATTTCCCTTATCAATAACTGTTTCTAAATCAGTTAAAAATAAAAGCTTTATGAAATCACTTCTGCTTGATTTAGTTCAATCGCTAAATGAGCTATTTTATTTGATTCTTCAACTTTAACCAATACTAAGGGTAAGCGATTCACAGTTAAATTGAAGAACTTCATTGGTGATTCATTAGCATGTAATGCAATTGCTGGTTTTAAGGAAGGCTTTAACAGGAAGTTTCTTAGGTGTTGTCGAGTTTGTAATTCTACTCGTTCAGATATGCTTATTCATAATAGACATTCTCAGTGTATTGTTCGTGATATAGAAGAACATAAGATAAGAGTCAAAGAACTTAATAATCCACTTCTACCTCCCAAACAACGTCAAAAATGGTCAAAATTATATGGTGTTCATTCTGCAAGCATTTTTTCAGAGATTAAAAATTTTGATGTCACAAAACAAGTGCTTTTTGATCCCATGCACGATTTGTTAGAAGATGTAATTCCTTTACAGATAGAACTTTATTTAAATAATGCTGTTTTTCAAGGTTTATTTACACTAGATGACTTTGTAAAGTGCTTTCAGTATCCACAGGACAGTAAAAAACCACCTATAATAGTCGATTTAGTTATTAAGGGAAAATTTGGAAGTGCTCAAGTGTTATCTCTTTGTCGTGTTTTGCCAATTTTTTTGAGAACCACTAAGATTGATCTTCATTTTTTATGCCTAATTAAACTTCTTCATATACTTCAACTATGTCTTTCTCCTATTACCACTGACGCTTATTTATTTTGCTTAGAGGAAAAAATAGCTGCCTATCATACACTTTTTATGGAATTATATCCAGAAAAATTTATACCTAAGCTTCATTTTCTAATACATTATCCACATCAATCCAGACAATTTGGTCCTCTACGATACCACATGTGCATGGGATTTGAGAGAAAACACCAAGTAATTAAAAATATCAGACATTTTAATTTTAAAAATATGCCATATACTGCCCTAAAGGGGATGATTTTAAACACTGTTTCATCTTTTTACAGCTCTTTTGGTGAGTTGAATAATGAAGTTCTCTGTGAATTAGATCAAGTAACTTTTGAGAAAAATGTATTATCTCGTATTCAGGTTAATGGTATTCAATATTGTCTTGGGTCATGTTTATGGTTTCATAGTGGTTCACAATTTTTTATTTATATAATTCAGGAGATACAAGTCAGAGGTGACAGAAAGTTATTTATTACAACACAGCTCCAGTCTGTTGCATACGATGAGATAAGAGGGTTTTTTAGTGGCATTGAAGATATTTCTATTCCTTCAACACCTATTTGACCTGAAAGCATTCCTTTTCCTTGGCCTGCATTTTACTTTAAAGAGGCTGGTACCTTCTATATTGTACCCCCAGCACTGCCATGATATTACTTGTAGTTAAATAGCTACGGTCATTCATAGAGTACATATGCACCGATTTACAGAGTGAGAAACTACAACCAAAAGTTAACTGAAAAAATAATATTGCCACAAATTATTTTTGACATTGTATACATATATATATATATATATATATATATATATATATATATATATATATATATATATATATATATATACATATATATATATATATATATATATATATATATATATATATATATATATATATATATATATATATATATATATATACATATATATATATAATATGACGCAAAATAACATTTAAAAACTGTCAAAAATAATTGACAAATTATTTTTGACATATCAGGATGTAAGCCTGACAATGGCGGTGCCATTGTCAGGCTTACATCCTGATATTGATAAAAAACATTTTCTGACTTTAGAAGTGTTATACTATAAAATGTATCTTTAAAATAAAACATTTAGAACAAGTTATAAACTATAATATAGTTTATAACTTTTTCTAAATATTTTATTTTAAAGATAAATTTGCATTTTTTTATTTGAAACTTTTATGGTGTCTAATTTAATAATGAGTTTCTCCTAATATTATGTTATTACTATCTACTTGCATATTGATTTAGATTGATAGAACTTCTTTTGTTGGTGATGTTAGAAAACAACTCATTAATTACTTTCCTCCACACATTAAACATTTTGTTAGCAGCAATTCTGTAGTAGAAGATAAGATTGTGGCCAGAGAATTAATGGCTTGTCTCTTATCATTCTGCTTCTCCCATATCCCAACTCATGCTATCATTGAAAATAGAGTTCTTGTGCATAAAACATTCTTTTCAAAGTTAAAGTCGACTTGTCTCAGCTTATATCCTTGTTATGGTCAACGATGGGTTAGTGAAACATTATGTTTAATATTGTGTTTGTTAGTCTAATTTGTTCATACTAAAAGTGATAGTATTAATTTTGCATTTAAAGGTTTTATTCTTTTTAAGTTCATGTACTTTTTGGTTTAAATAGTGAATGTATTATGTATTATTATTAAGTAAATTTTAAAAGTTAATGTTTTTTAAAAGTTTATTTTAACAATTTATGCATTTGTTTAGCAAACAGCCTCATGAATTTGCTATTTTGTTACTTTTATTTTATAAACTATAAGATTATATTTTGGTTATGTTAGGATCTCATTTTTAAAAAGTTGCCAAACAATTATCGACAACGACAGTATACCAAGTGTCACAGCTTAAAGGTGAAAAGGCTTCCACAGGTTTCTGTTTCAAATAAAAATAGGAAACTTAAACCTCTTGTGACTGAATTGGTAGCTAATCAAGAGCAGTTATTAAAAGATGTTGAAGTAAGAAAAATGTTATTTATGGATTTAAGAAATATTTATATTACTTGAATATTGTAAAATGTTTTCTCTTAATTTATTCCAATTTTTATTAGAGTAACTTTTATAGCTCTTGTATATGTTTAAAATCTACTATTACTTTTCATTTTAGAATGAATTAAAAAAAAAAAGCCGTCACAGCCAACCTTGTCCATTTTAAATAGACAACTATTTGATAATGAGACATTTAGCATGATACCGAAGAGAATTAGTTTTGCTCCTACACTAATGCTGGAGGAAGCAATTCGTTTTTATGCCGATTTCAAGGATGCTATAATCAAGATTTAAGCAATGTTATTTTGGATTTCTCCAGAGTCTGGTAACCACACTGAAAATTTGTTAAAGCTCCAACAGAAACTTATTTCCAAGAAGGCATGTGACAAATTGTTTATGAAAGTGGATGTAAGTTTATCACCTGAATTTTTGAATTTATTTTGAATTAAACAACAACATACATGTCTATGTTTCCATGAAACTTTTCTTTTTTGTCTTTTCTTTTTGTGTATTTGTTTAATTTTTTCATGAAAATGATTTTAAACTGGAATGTGTACTTTTAAAATTTTCACAATAGTTTTTTGAAATATTTTACTATTATACTATTATATATTTTTTAGTGTGACTCTATTGGAGAATACATAAGAGTGCCAAGTTCGTATGGTC